CCCCAAAACCCCAAAACCCCAAAACCCCAAAACCCCATGATATAAAGTTAGCATTGAAATACCTATATAAATATTTTAAGATATGAACCAACCTTATTGCAAACATAATCTGTTCTCTGAAACGAACCAATGTTCTTGTATGACAGGGGATAATGAATGGGTGTACCCAGACAACGTTTTTGTCAATGTAGAGAACCAAACTAATGAAGCCAATAATATTGGCTGGGGATTAGTAAATCAACTATGAGAAACAACAAAGAAGAATGAAGACTTCAGTATTGATCTTTTAAGTAAACTTTTGAAGAATCGAGATTATGGCCATCAGGATTCCGGGGTACTAGATCAATGAGATCATTCGGAAAGTAAAGAGAAGGATTACTCTTCCACAATATCTAAATGTCATAAAACACTATTGCAACATAAGGTTGCTAAAGATATTCCTATTGATTTCCAGACCCATCTTGGCTTAATAAAAGAAGAAAATGATATGACGACTCAAGAAATATTAGATCAAAAGTCCTCTCTTTCACACAGCTACAAAGAATCTGAAGCAAGAAGAGACTTTAAGCTTAAAACTTGTGTTAGGCAGATGAGAAGGTTTTATAGAGACCTCTTCAAAAGTAAAAACAGAATACTTGTCAGAAAAAGATATGCTAATTGAAGTACTCCAGAGATTATCAAAGGATTTCGCTCATGACTGATAGACATAGTTCCAACAGATTTGATCACTCAAGATGTGATCTATTTTGGCATAGGAATAACTGGAATTAAGAAATCTGAAACGCTTAGATGTAGTAATGAAATCAAGCAAGACATTTGAAATTTCTTGCAGCTGACACGCAGGTTTTCAGAGAAGAGACTAAGAAAGCTGGTCAAGTCTTGCAATATGAAAACTCTGATAAGTTATTTCATCTTGAACAAAGATACGCCAGAAAGCAGAAGACTCAAAGAGTTCATAAATTATTTTGAGCAAGAATTCACCTCCTAAATATCAGTCAATTACTAATTAGTTTAACAACATTTAAAGAATATGCACTCTTTGGTGAAATTTTCAGATCAACATCAGTAGTTCTTTCTGAGTTTTATAACAACTATTTCTAAAAATTGCAAGCTCTCTAGCCCTCATAAGTTCGCTCATAGAGCTATATGTTCGAGTGGATATTTTAGATCATATTTCTTCTCCTCAGTTCGCTCTTGAGTAATTGGAAAAATAAACAGTTTTCTATCTAGTCTCCCTAATGGCTCGGAATAGTTGCATACTTCCATACTTATTCGTAAAATTTCCAGGGATGATTACATTCAGTTTCAGCTTAACCATTCAGAATAGACCACACTGTTCTTATTAATAGGTACATCAAAAACATTCTCATCGCTTGCACAGCTAACAAACCAGACAGCTAGATAATACCTTGACTACTTTGGTTTCATTGAAATAGGTAAAATAGTTTAGCAATTTTATTGGATAACGAGTCAAACTTAATTGTAACAATCATGACTATTAAGGTCAAGAATTGCCTCTTTTTCCAGACAAATTAGTATACCTGGCTTACCATAAAAACTTTATAACTTGTTTGTAATATTAACAGAGGTAGGTGTAAACTCATTGACCTAATAACTAAGTGATTGAAAATTTAAGAATGTTAATTAACTCCAAGATTTGCTAATTGAACATTCAGAAATTGACAAGAAATAATGATAGTAAAACTTTGATCTTGCAGACAAACCTAAGTTTTCTTCTCTTATAAATTAGTAAAAGTTTACAAAAACTAATTGACCTTAAAAGTTTTTGGAATTAAACACCATTTATTGCGCTTTCAGTTTTCCAAGCAATGAAAGAGCCCTGAACACTTATTAATCTTCTAATCGGTTAACACTAAATATTAAGAAATTATATGAATGCTTCTGAATATTCCATGAATTAAGATAATATTTCGGAGAAGAACTTCCAATACTTGTCATTATAACTCCAAAACTTTGCGTATCCTAACTTAAATATTATTTATCAAAGATGTCAAAGATAACCTTTTTTGTCTCTCATTGCCCTCTTTCATATAAATCGAAAACTTGAACTTGGAAAAATTGTCAAGAAATAATTCTCGAAATACAAAGAAATTCTCCAAGTCTTGCTTCAAATTTTGGCCCATAAAGTCTCAGAGCTTTGACTGAGGGAAGAACTGATTCTTGCACTGAATTTTCCAGAGTTGCTTCTATTCGAAATAATTTTCATTCCTGCTTTCTCTTCCAAAATGGGTTATAAGCAATAGTGATCTACAGATTGCAAGAGTTCATTTGTAATCAAACCGCGAAATGTATAGAACAGAGCAGTAATATTATTTAACAGGGAAGTCCCAAATAGCTTGTTTTTAATATCTAAGCATCTTCCTTGGCTATTTTTCATTTATGCTACTTATATTAAGCTCTTACCAGAAAGCTAGAGTTCCATAATTACTTCAAAAGCTAACAATATTACCAAAAAATATCCAGCCAACCCTTCCAAAACAAGGGGTTTTGGGGTTTTGGGGTTTTGGGG